GAAACAAACAAGGAGTGTAAATGTCAGTGAGGGTAACAAAACATGAGAGACACCTAACTCTGGGAAATGAACAAGGGGTAGTGGAAGGGGAAGTGGGCGGGCAGTTGGGGTGACTGGGCATAGGATGGGCACTGAGAGGGGCACTTGGGATGAGCACTGGGTGTTATGCTATATGTTGGCAAATTGAATTCCAATAAAAAAAAAAAGAAACAGGGGTAGTGGAAGAGGAAGTGGGGGGGTTGTGGTGACTGGGTGACAGGCACGGAGTGGGGCACTTCATGGGATGAGCACTGGGTGATATGCTATATGTTGGCAAATTGAACTCCAATAACAAAAATAATTTTAAAAAATTAAAAATTTAACACATTAAAAAAAGAAATAATAAATGTATGCCATTTTTTTAATGTATGGCATTAAAACAATGCCCAGCAATCAGATATTTGCAATTGGGGCTGGTGGGGTGGTATTTCTAGAAGAGTGATTGGCACACTTCAGGGACTATCATTATTGTTTCTATATTTATCTCTTTTCCATATCCACATAATCATTTACCTAATCTATTCTCTTATGTGCATTTATCCAATAGTGTTGTATGAGTGATCATTTGCAAATTTTTGCAAATAACATGAATGGAGAATCAGAAAATGAAATTCACTGGGGAGCGACAGATACAGGGATATATTCAAGCTGGTATACACAAGTTATTCCAGGTGATAGCCCTTCTTGGGCCTTCACCTGCTATAGGGTCCTACTCCTTCTTGGGACGCTCAGCCTCAATAGCCTCTCCCCATTCTCACTCTCCTGTGCCTAATAAAATGACCATCCAGCCTGAAGATAGGAATTTTCTATTCCTACTTCAATGCCCACTTGCAAGGTGCTTTCAGCCACTGCCCTGAAATGAAAGAGGAATCATTGGTCCGTTTATTCACTTATCCCACAAGTACTTTACAGGTGCAAGAGTGGGTGCTAGGGACACAACTATAACAAGATACAGTCCCTGCCTTCCAGGTGCTACATGCTGGAGGAGGAAAGCTTCTGTCAAGGAAGGGTGTCTCCTAGGTGTCTCCTAGGTGTCTGGGTTGGGCAATTGTGTTAATGCTCATGCCACCCACTGAGACTGGAAATGCAGTAGGACATGCTAGGTGTGAGGTACCCGTGGGACAACAAGTATATGTATTCAGAAGAGAGCTGAATTTATGACCCAAGAGTTCAGGAGGGACAGTGGGGCAAGAGATATAAATCTAGCAGTTGAAGACATAGGCACTGATTGCCTAGGAAGTGGGCCTGGAGAATTCTATTGTGTAAAGCATGTCCTTATATTTCTCTTCTATGTCCTTGCATTTAAAGACATGCTGACACCAATTGGTGATATTATTGAGTAAATATTTCTAGAAAAAGAACAGTAAGGGGGCACCTTGCTGCCTTAGTTGGTAGAGCACATGACTCTTGACCTCGGGGTTATAGGTTCAAGCCCCACATTGAGTGTAGAAGTTATTTAAAAATGAAATCTTTAGGGATCCCTGGGTGACTCAGTGGTTTAGTGCCTGCCTTCAGCCCAGGGTGTGATCCTGGAGTCCTGGGATCTAGTCCCACATCTTGGCTCCCTGTATGGAGCCTGCTTCTCCCTCTGCCTGTGTCTCGGCCTCTCTCTCTCTCTCTCTCTCTCTCTCTCTCTATCTATCTCTGTGTCTCTCATGAATAAATAAAATCTTAAGAAAAAATAAAATAAATAAAATCTTTAAAAGAAAAGGAAACAGTAAGATCAACAGTTAGAAAAATCTATCTATCTATCTATCTATTTATTTATTTATTTATTTATAGCTCACATGAACAGTGAGGGGCAGAGGGACAGAAAGAGAATGTCAAGCAGACTCTGCACTGAGCTCAGAGCCTGATGTTGGGGCTTGATCCCATGACCCTGAGATCATGACCTGAGCTGAAATCAGAAGTCAGACACTTAACCAACTGAGGCACTCAGAAACCCTGAGAAAAATAATTATAGATGGTCCCTGGCTCTCAGTGGTTTAACTTATGACTTTTTCAGCTTTATGATGGTGCAAAAGCAGTACACATTCAGTAAAAACCATACTTTGAGATTTGGATTTTGATCTTTTCCCAGGCTAGTGATAGGCAGTATGACACTCTCATCTCATGATGCAGGTTGGTGGCAACTGCAGCTCCAGTCAGTCACACAGTCACAAGAGTAAACAACTGATACACTTAAAACCAGTCTGTACCCACAGAACCATTCTGCTTCTCACTTTTGGTACAATATTCAATACATTACATGAGCTGTTCCATACTTTATCATAAAATTGACTTTGTGTTTGATGATTTTGCCCACCTGTAGGCCAACGTAAGTGTCCTGAGCGTGTTTAACGTAGGCTAGGCTGAGCTATAATGGTCAGTAGATTAGGTATATTAAATGCATTTTTTACTTAAAATATTTTTAATTCATGATGTGTTTATCAGGACATAACCCCATCAGAGGTTGAGAAAGATCTGTAGGCTGGTTCCATCCTTCTTTGTGGGAATAGTAAGGAAAAGCTATAACAGATACACCTGCGCATAAGTAAACATAATTTATAACAACATTGCTTGTAAGAGCAACCCCATCCTACTGGGATTTTTATGGAGGCTCCATCATGGAGGCATGATCAATTATCAAGTCCATTTCTAGCCCCTCTCCCCTCTCCAGAGGATGGTGAGTGGGGCTGAAAATTCTAAGCTTCTAATAATGGCTTGGGCTTTCTGGTAATCAGCCCCCATCCAGGAGCCCATCCAGAGTCACCTCGATAGAAAAAAAGATACTCCTAAGTGCTCTTATCACTTAGGAAATTACAAGGGTTTGAGGAGCTTCGTGCCAGGAACATGGGACCAAGACCAATATGTATTCTTCTATTATCTCATACCCAATGTTAGCATACAAGAAATTCCCAGTTATTTCAACCAGATCATCAGACGCTTTAGATCAATATCTGAGACTGTCAGATTTATACCTTTTTTATGTAACCTCCCCATGTTTTCCTCTTAAATCTTATCTTTTCTCTTGTAATGATGGACATTAAAGCCTTAAAATGAAAAGGGTCTGCAAATTTGTTTTCAGAGACAGAAAGAAAGGGTGGATGTAACAAGATGATTTTCCCAGAGCCCATCTTAGAGGGAGGAGAAACCCAACAGTCTGGATAGGTGGTGACAATTACCAAGGGTGGGGGGCGTCTGTGTGGGGGCGGGGGTAGGGTGAATCCCTGCAACCTGCCTTGGCTAAAAAGGAGATCTTGAGAGGAACCTGCCTGAGCATGTGAACTCCCCACCTCCCACCCCCACCCCTGGGGGGACTTAGGAAAAAAGGGGTTCCTCAAATGCAGTGATAAATCAGCTTTGCAAAGTAATAGGATTAAATTCAAAACTGTTACAGGTGATGTGTGACTAGCCCGTGCTTGTATCCTAAAGAGCTAGGTCTTTTCTTCATTCAACAGGTATTATTCTATTTTTATTGTTACTAAGATAGCACAAAGGGAACACCTCTGTTTGTTCTCTTACCTTAGGTTGATGTTAGAACAACACCAAAAATGCTTACTGTACACTGATCTTGAAACAACCCTGAAAGCTTCAAAGGAGGGAAGATTATTTGCACCCATTTCTTCCACCTTTTCCTCTCCAATTCTAACAACATGCTACATTTAATCCCAACTTTGCCTACTTTTTCCCAGAAAAATCATCAATGAACTATGGATCTACTATAGGAACCCGTAGATTCACTGAAGTATAAGATCCCAGCTTTGTTCTCAGAGTTTGTGGTTTTGTCAGGGGACAAATGATTACAGTCAGGAGTGAATGCTAATGTCCAAGAACATATGTTCAATGCCAAGTCCATAATAATGACTTCCAGAATCCAGCTGAGGCAGAAATCCTTGAGGGTCAAGAAACTCAAGCTTCTTGGAGAAGGTGGACCTCAAAGGACAGGTTAGATTTAAATAAAGAATAGAGTATGTGAAGCTGGTATAGGGTGTGAGGTAAGACCAGTCCATTTGGGGCATCTTTGTAGAATAATGAGGGACCCAGTTCCCTGGACAAGAGGACAGGAGACAACAGTCATTGGATGAAGCGGTTTCTGATTCAGTGAAAGTCTAAAGTAGGATTTCCCCAGATTAATGGAAACCCTGTGTGTTTCGAACATATCCAGTAGAGCATGAGAAGGATATAATACATGATCTGATGGTTGGGACATGCCAGCTGGATATGAAATCATGGGACCAAGATTGTGTTCAGGAAAGGTTACAGTATCTGCATATCTGCCCCACTTCCTTATGTCTCTCTGTACAGTAGGGGCCAATGTTAAGAGTGAACTTACAAAAAAAAAAAAAAAAGAGTGAACTTACAAGAGTCCATCGCTTATGCTCCCCGCAAGCTCAGCTTGTGATCTTTCTTTCTCTTGTCGTCTCCAACTTTCCTTCTTCCCTTTCCTGCTCCCGGCCAGATGTCCAGGAGAAATCCTTTCTCACTGTGAGTTTTGGTTGGAATGTCAACCTGCAACATTTTCCTTTTTAGAGTGAATGTGTGCATGTACAGATTAGTTGAGAGTGTAAAATATGGAAACTCTACCAATACTCACCTGGCCTGAGAGCCGCAAGACTCCAGACCTGGCTGACACCTTTTTGCTCTGTGAACTTGAGCTGGCACTTAAATTGCCCATTCTTGGGTTTCATTTATTTGTAAAATGGAGATGCTAATACTTCCCTACCTACCTTGCAGAATTTTCTTGAGGTTCAAATGAAATTATGGTTGTGAAAGCACTCTGGAGACAAAAAAACTGATGGTAGCTCAAGGTGAAGATTGCATGGGGGCTAGGGGTGGTGACATTGAGAAAGCCTCAATAAATCCCATCCAGCCCTACAATTTGATAAAGTTGTTTTGTATCATTAAAATAAGTTAACTATATAGCTTCCTCTCTGATGTTTTAGTGGCTGTCACTCAAATGATGTCTTTTTCCTCCCCAGATATCCCTAAGTGCAGAACCCAGCGCCCCTCTACAAGTTCCCACTCATCTTGCTTGGTCTCCTCATTGGTGGGCAGGGCTCCCAGCCACCGAAGCAGCAACGAAAATCCTCACGCAGCATCTTCAGAGGCACTCTGGACTTCAGGCTTTACCCAGCTAGGCTCCTGATCCGAAGTCAATTTAGATATGTGAAAGGATTTTGATAGAATGACAAGGTGTTCTACACACTGGAGAGTTGGGTGTTACTTGAGTCCTCTATTAGAAACTTTCAGCTTAGGTACCTACTTGGCAAAGGGAGTTCTCAGTATCTCTATAAAAGGTATTCATGGCATAAGTGCTGATATAGTTACAAACCTAGATACAAATGTGAGGATAGATACCATGGGATTGATAAAGGGACATAGAATAGCTACAGTGGTAAATATTGGGTATATGGGGCAGGGTCCCAGAAGGATACAGACAGCATACTCCCAAGGCTACCTGAGCAGTTTAATGAAGGGGCTGTTTCCCATGGTGTCTCACTGGCTAGGGCTGCCATCACAAAATACCACTGTCTTCATCTGTTCCAGCTGCTATAACAAAAATACCATAGATGGGTAGCTTATAAACAACATACATTTATTTTCTCACAGTTCTAGAGGCTGGGAGCTCTAAAATCAAGATGTCAGCAGGATTGGTTACTTCTGAGGCCTCTCTCCTTGGCTTGTGAGTGGCCACCTTCTCCTTGTGTCTTCATATGGTCTTCTTCTGGGCAGGTCTGTGTCCTAATCTCCCCTTTACTATAAGGATACAAGTCAGAATTGATTAGGGCCTGCCCATATGACCTCATTTAACCTTAATTACCTATTTGAAGACTTCATCTCCAAAGATAGTCACATTCTGAGGTCCTGGGGGTTAAGACTTCAATATAGGAGTTTTGATGGGGGGTGGAGGCTAAGGGGGTGGGACACAATTCAGCCCATAACAACACTGTAGGGAGAAGTAAGAGAATCAAGATGAGATGGTGAAGCACCTAGGAACTAGCAACAGTGGAAGGAAGCCTCTGTCATCCTGTGGCCTGAAGAGGCAAGACAAGAGGGAAAAGGCCTGTTGTTCCTAGAACCCATGAGAGCTGTAGCCATAGGAGAAGGGCCGCCCAGTGAGATATATACTTTATGATGGAGGAACACGGTCACCGTTAAAAACAAGGCCTAGCAGGGAAGGGAGAGGGAGAAGTCCCAACCCCTCTCTCCCTACCCCTTGACACTCCAATAGCACTTGCCTCTCATCCAGAAGTCAGAGCACAAAGAAGCCTGGGGAGAAATGTGTCTAGGTGTGGTGGAAGGGGTATTATATGGGTGAGACAGTGAGGAATAACTAGCACAATGGGGCGAAATGTAAAAATTTCTGAAGAAGGAATTATAATTGATATTCAAGCAATGTAAATGGGCTTCAAAGGGTAATTGGAAAACAGAAATTGTTACTTAGCTGCAAAAATATTAGTTATATGTTCTAAACTAAACCACCTACTCATGTAACCATTTCAAGGTCCCAGAAGTTACCATTCTAGGATACTTACTTACCTAGTTAAGTATAATGATAGAAAATCAAATGTTTGTCAATCATGTAATGTTGAACACTCATGTTCTTATATTACATACTGATACACACACACACACACACACACACGCTTGTTTTTGAATGGTTCAAAATTATGGCCTGGAAGGATGGCCCAGGATACAGTGGTTTGGATGCCCAAATGATTGGTATAGGGCAAAACATGCCCAACTTACAATTGATTAGTTTACACCACCCAAGGTGATATTAAACATGACACTGAGGCAGAGAAGAAAAAATATATATACCTGGGATGAGACCTGGTATTCCTCCCATGGGCAAAGCCGATGACTATTAGTTAAGATTACTTCTTCATGAAGGCTGAGCCCTCATGGTCAGCTCCCAGGAGTCAGGGGCAGCTGGGTAGCTGGGAGGCCTACAGCTCCAGGATTCTGCACTGCTTTGTCCCAGTGAGCCCCCTGGATTATGTCAGGATCCAGTCACATCGTGGGCATAAATTTGAATGGGCCAGTCTGGAGTGTGTCTGTGTCTTTTCTGAAATAAACCAGAATCTTCTGGGGCAAGGACCTATCAAGAGAAGGGGGCTCGTCTAGTACTAGTGGCTACATCTTGTCTTAAGCTGTAGTTAGGTTATCTATTTCTATAAAACAAACCAGCCCCAAATTTAGTTGCTTACAATAACAGTCTGTCATTCCCCTCATAAATCAGCAGTTTGGGAGCGTTCTGGGGAGGAGCTTCTCTCTGATCCATACAACATCATCCTCTGAGTCCTCCTGACAGAGGGCTGGAAGATCCAATCCCAAGATGGTCTAGGGACATGGCTGGGAAGTGCATGCTAGCCTTTCACTGGGCGTTCAGCCAGGGATGAGGGCAGGGGCCTCTGCTCCTCTTCATCTGGGCTAGGGTTCTCATAGCATGGGGGCTGGGTTCTACGGACGAGTATCCCAAGAGAGAGACAAGTGGGCTCTGAATCACCTCTTTTGTCCTAGCCTCAGAAGTTTCTCCATTATGCCCTGATGACCACAGAAGCTTATCCAGTTTCAAGCAGAGCAGGCATAGACTTTACAGAATTGTAAGGTTCTGGAAGAACATGTGGGATAGGAAATATAATTGTGACTATTTTGGAACAGACTGCCTCAGGATGGTTCCCTGTGTGACCCTTACTTGTCATTGGCCACAGCATAGTTATATGAACAAGGCACATCCTCTGTATTAGTCTGCTTGGGCTGCTATAACAAAATACCACTGACTGGGTGGCTTAAACAACAGACATTTATTTTCTCATAGTTTTGGAGGCTGGAAGTCCAAGATCAAGGTGTTGGCACAGTTGGCATCTTGCAAGACCTCTCTTTTGGGGTTACCTCTTCTCTGTGTGCTCATATGCCCTTTCCTTGGTACCTGTGCAGAGAGGGGGGAGGTTTCTGTGGTTTCTCTTTTTATAAAGACACCAGTCATATGAGATCAGGACCCCACACTTATGGCCTGATTTAACCTTAATTACTTCCTTAGTGGCCTCATCTCCAAATACAGTCACTCTAAGGGTTCAGCCTATGAATTTGCATGGGGATGCAAGCATTGGACTTTTAACATTACCCAGAGTGATATGAATTAGATGACAATGGAGAAAGATAGATTTCTCTTGATATTTGTTAATTTGAGAAAACTTGATTGAACTCCAACCTTGTGCCAGACTCTTTGCTAGGCTCTGCTAGGGAATGTAGGTAGGAGCATCCTGCCTTTAATGGGTTTATAACCCATTTATAGTTTATGAGGCAGACAAAGCAGCCATTAAAATAGAGCAGTAGCTGCAAGGATCACAGGCTTCTACAGCTTTGGGAGGGGACAAATAAACCACTCCACATGCTGCACAAGGGGTGTCCAAGCAGAAATGGAGGAAGTGGTATTGAGTAGTAAATAGGAAGTGTGACAGATGAAGCATTTGGGAGAAATGAATAAACCATACAGAGACCCAAGGCAAAACTAGGGTGACTGCCATCCTGGTTTGCCCAGGGCTGGCCTGGTCTTAGGGCTGAAGTCCCACATGTAACAACACCTCACTCACTGTGCCTGGTCTATGGCACTGTAAATAGTTGGGTATGGCTGGCACATAGAGGAAGTGGGGTGGCAGCAGGGTTGGTGAGAGAGCAAGCTGAAAAAGTAGGCAGGAGTCCAAACAGGAACCAAGCCATGCTAAGTTTAGACTTCATCTTGAAAGAAGTTGAACAATGGGGGCACCTGGGTGGCTCAGATGGTTAAGTGTCTGCCTTTGGTTCAGATCATGATCCCAGGGTCTTGGGATTGAGCCCCCTGTTGGGCTCCCAGCTCAGCTCAGCAAGGAGTCTGCTTCTCTCTCTCCCTCTGCCTCTCCCCCTGCTTGTTCTCTCTCTCTCGCTCTTTCTCTCTCTCTCTTTCTGTCAAGTGAACAAATAAAATCTTTAAGAAAAAACAGAAAGAAGTTGAGCAATCAATAGGTGACCTTAAGCAAGGGAGCGAATGGCTAAGACGCAGATGTAGGAAGAGCTCCAACTGCTGCATAATTAAGAAGAGGGACAATTCTATAGGCCGGTCAAGAAGCCATTGCACAGGGATAGAAAAAACCCTAGGATTTAGAATATCTTAAGGAGAAGTAATAGAACTTAGAAATACAAATAAGAGAGACAAGGAGAATTCAAGCATGACTCTCAGGTTTCTGGTTTGGGCAATTGCAAAAAGTCTTGGGAAGTAATTTGGATGGTTTGGAAAGACCTTCCCCACACCACCCTACACAAGAATACCAGCAAAGCAGCTATTCTTCGGCTTCCCATATAGCTCTTATTGGCCTAAAAATTCTCCATTGTGACACCAGTGATCCAGAAATCTCAACCAGAGCCACTAGACGTACAGGAACAGGAGGAGGTTTGGGGCAAGAGGGGGAAGAAGATGGGCATTTATTACACGTGATACTTCCTAAATGATTTATGTACTTGGTCTTACTTAATTTTTGCAAGAATATTTTGAGGTAGGCAGGTTGTTTTTCTCATTTTACCAGCTGCCAAATTGATAACAAAGTAATGTACACAAGTGGCCACAGCTACAAGCAGCATAGCTGGGCTTTCAACCCACATGTGTTGGGCCATAAATACCTGATTTTTTACACCACGCTGTTTCCCTAATGAGCACTAGTTTCTACCTGACTGGATATTTTGCACATTTACTGTGATGCCTTGACTTCATCTGCCCTCAGCATTGAAGGATGAAGACCTAGGAAATGACTCTCTCTACTCTAAGAGGCCAGCTGAGGTTGCTTTCAGGAGCAAGCATTGCAAGAATGCTTCTTAATCCTTTGTAACTGGTCCCCACACTTGTTATACATGCAAAAACTCTAAAGCCAGAGGTCCTGCGTGATTATCTTTGTGAGGATCAGGGCCAGGGGAAGCTATGGAGACAGTGTCCCAGTCAACAGCCAATTTAGGGAGGGAAGAAGTGTCGGGAGATGAAAGTCTAGAGATAAAGAGCTAGGAGAAGGACACAAAAGGGAAGAAAGGAACACGTGCTGGGTTTCCAGGGCCTCCCTCCAAAAGACAGGTGAGCTTGTCTAGACCTTACAGGGTCTCTGGAAACCTAACAGCTGGACCCATACCGCCCCTACGTGGAGGCTGCCTTCCCAGGTCCGGGACACCCTGTACTTGGAGCCTTAGGAGAAACTCCAGTGCCAACCCCAGCTCCTTCTTAACCAGCGAGGTTTATATTCTGATATAAATCTTGACTTATCTCCTTCGAGGTCTTAATCTTCCTGTATTTACATAGTAGTCTATCCATCTTGCGTCTAGTATTCTGTTGTTATTTCTGCCTATCTTTTACTCTTCCCACCTGCCCATCCACCCGCCTTATGGATTGGGAACTTTTCAGAGGACCCCAGTTTCACTCACTCTGTATTTCCACATTTTCTTAATGCAGGAGGGGTGTAACTGGAGTTTGTTGTCACGGGAATGTCATCTGAGGGTCTGAAATGTTCATTTCTCAGCTGGTTCCTTGATCCACTGACATTGACAGAGAGAGGACGCAAGAGGGCGCTCCTTCCCCTCTATCTCAGTCCAGCGAGCTGCTCCTCTTCTATTATTTTATACTCTTGAAAATTTCAGACGTGACTGACCTCAGTGAAAACATATTTGTATTACTATTGGGGAGAGGTTTGGGGGAAATTTTGAATATTTATACAGACACCCTTAGGGAAATATGTGTTCAGCCCAGGTCTTTGATTTCATTCAAATCCAACAAAGACCCACCAAGTCAGTTTTTGAAAAACGTAAAGTCTAGGGAAGAAACCTGTGTTTTAAAAAGTAACCTACCACTTTACACCCATTAGGATGGCTATTGTCGAAAACATCAAAAACAGGTGTTGGCAAGGATGTGGGGAAATTGGAACCTTTGTGCCTTTGTTGCTGGGGTTGTAAAATGACAGATGCTATGGAAAAATTAAACATAGGATTAGTTTATGATCCAGCAATTCAGATATAATTGAGAACAGGGACTCAAAGAGATATTAGTATATCCGTGTTCATAGCAGTATTACTTATAATAGCCAAAAGGTAGAAGCAACACAAGTGTCCATTGACAGATGAATGGATAAACAAAGTGTGGTTTATACATACACTGGAATATTATTTAGCCTTAGAAAGGAAGGAAATTCTGACACATGCTACATTATTATGCTAAAGTAAAGTAAAGAAGCCAGCCTGGCTGGCTCAGTCAGTAGAGCATGCATCTCTTGAACTTGGGATTGTGAGTTTGAGCCCCAGGTTGGGTGTAGAGATTACTTTTAAAAATAAAAAATGTTTAAAAAAGAAGCCAGTTTCAAAGATACTGTATGATTCCAGTTATATTAGGTACCTTGAGGAGTCAAATTCAAAGAAATAAAAATAGAATAAAGGTTTCTAGGGGCTGTGGAAGGGAAAAATGGGGAGTTAGTGTTTAGTGGGTACAAAGTTTCCATTTTGGAAGATGAGTGGTGGTGATGGTTGCACAACAATGCGAATGTACTTAATGCCACTGAATTGTACACTTAAAAATGGTTAAAATTGGGGGAAAATGGTTAAAATGGTAAATATTATGTTATGTGTATTTTACTACACCAGAAAAGAATAAAGGGGGAAAACACTCAAAATGCATAGTTATCAGTACTAAAACAGAGGCAAGTTCTGAATATGGAGCAGCTTATTCTACATGGTGGGGAGAGGCTGGGAACAATTATAATCAGGGATAACAGTGATCTGGGTCTTAAAGGATGTATAGTGGATAAAGCAAGATAAGGTCTTAGGCTCTTCTTGATGCCCTAGATTATAGTTTTTATGTTATGATGGTCTTTCCTACACCCTACATTCTCCCCAAGCTTATTTTGTTTACTTCCCATAATTTAGGTTCTCTAGCCCCTGCACTGGTTTTATCAGAATCCAGATTTTTTTATAGTACTTGATAGATTACTGTGACCTTTCTCCTGCACTGTTAACACATTAGACAATCTCATGAGACAAAC